CCCACCAATAGCGTCCACCACCCGCCTCGCTTCCGACATGTGCTCTTTTTCATTCTCTGAAATACAAACTAGGTTTTACCTCAGTAGCTATGTCTCTTAAGTCGTCATCACGTAATCTCAATCCACATTTGAAGTTCTTGCCTTTGATCTGATTCGAATATCAATGAGCAATCATGATGTCTCTGCAAATTAAACTATTTTAAAAAAGTGTTTGATTCCTTAATTCTTGAACCTCGAACAGTCCAAGTCACTTTTCATCAGTACATTAACCAAAGAGTATCTCGTGGTTACTGACCTTTAACATAGAAACTCAAAATACTCCTTATAGCTGCTAAGCAAAAATATCTAATCATGGCATTTTATCTTGAAAAAACAGAAACCAAGTTTTACATCATCCAGTGATGCATTTTCCTTTAATATTAATTGATGGAGATTTTTTGCCTTTCCTTTTCCTTTCCTTTTTCTTCCTTCAATACTTTGTAGTGATTCAATGTGCTGATCTTCACACAGGAGTTACAATTCTTTTCCATTGTAATATTATAAATTGGATTCTCCTGCTCTTCTTCAACTTGAGATATCAGCAACACTTGCTCCTTCCGGACCATATGTGTTTTTGTGCAATAACTGTTGATTATCAATTTCCATTATTGCATTACCTTCTAGTTGTTATCTCTTTTTCTGAGATTTTCAACAACAAATTTCGAATCTTTATAGTATGGATCATTTTTAAAAGAATCATACACATAATAAGATCTTCATCTTTGTCACTTCTATTCCCTTAGAAGTACCTAGGTTGATATTAAGCCATACATTTTGCTTGAAAAACTTTTTGTTGTCAAGCTCTATAACTTCAAAAAATTTTCTAAGAATTCTTCAAATGGAGTCCCATCATTTTATCAGGGAGAGCTTCGTTTTATGATCCAAGTACTTGTAATCTGCTGTCCATTTGCCATCGTCGAACGCAATAATCAAAAATTTGTATGGATCAGTGTATTTAATGAACCCACAAATTAATTAGATATCTAGAAATTATACTGTTTAAAAATATAATATTCATTCCAGTATAATATACTGGAGAATAAGCTTACATACAGGTGATGTCCCGTAAATATACTGGATTAAAACAAAACTCAATTATATTCTAGTCTTTAGAAACTTAATCCAGTATAACATACTGGAGAAAAAGCTTAGACCACAAAAGGCGATGTCCCGTAAAATATACAGGATTAAAACAAAACTCAATTATAATCTAGTCTGAAAACAGAATTCGTCCAGTATAACATACTGGAGAAAAACATTACACACAGGTGACGTACTTTAAATTATTCTGGATTGAAATAAAACTCAACTATATTATAACATAATATCTACATTAACGAAACATACTTCAAGTGAATTACAATGCATTTTTTATGAGATTTCCAATATAATAAGCTGGAAACGTCCAGTAAATTATATTCTAGTCTAAATAGAACTCAACTATATTCTACTCTAAATAGAACTCGTCCAGTATAACATACTGGAGAAAATTTTAAACACAGGTGATTTCCTATAAAATATACTGGATTGATATAAAACTCAATTATATTCTAGTTTATGCAGAACTTACCCAGTATAACATACTGGAGAATAAGCTAACACACAGGTGATGTCCCGTAAAATATACTGGATTAAAACAAAACTCAATTATATTCTAGTCTTAGAACTTATCCAGTATAACATAAAAAATATTACACACAGGTGACGTCCCGTAAAATATTCTGGATTCAAACAAAATTCAATTATATTCTAGTCTTATAACTTATCCAGTATAACTTATTGGAGAATAAACTTATACACAGGTGATGTCTCGTAAAATATACTTGATTCTATCAAAACTCAATTATATTCTAGTCTTAGAAATTACCCAGTATAACATACTGGAGAATAAGCTTACACACATGAGATGTCCCGTAAACTATACTGGATTAAAACAAAACTCAATTATATTCTTGTCTTAGAACTTATTCAGTTTAACATACTGGAGAATAAGCTTACATACAGGTGACGTCCCGTAAAATATTCTGGATTCAAACAAAACTCAATTATATTCTAGTGTTAGAACTTATCCAGTATAACATATTGGAGGAAAAGCTTACACACACGTGATGTCCCGTAAAATATACTGGATTCAAACAAAACTCAATTATATACATGCTTTTTTTATGAGATTTCCAGTATAATAAGCTGGAAAAATCTTCGCTTTAGATATTAATTTAGAAACGTCCAACAAATTATACTGGCGTTATGTTCTACATTGAGAAAATTAGACAATAACACAGATTAAAGCATTAAAAACAAATCAAAAATTCGAAAAATTAAATTTTTTTACTGATACTTTGAATTTTATGGTTTGAATTCTTGATCGTAGAAGAAATTTAAATAATCAGACAAATTTTAGATAGAACTTACTTCGATTTGCAGATTGACGACGGAAATTTTGCTAAAACTTCGATTTGCAGATTGACGCATAACGATTTTGCTAACACTTCGATTTGCAAATTAACGCCGGAAGATTTTGCGAATACCTCGATTAACGCCGAAAGATTTTGCTAATATTTCGATTTACAGATTGACGGCGAAAATTTTCCTAATAACTCGATTTGAAAATTAATGCCGGAAGATTTTGTTAAGTTTTGCTAAAAGAAGAATTTAAGGTGAAGTCGCGTAAATTAATAAAAAAAGCAGGGGTATTTTAGTCAACAAAATATTACCGCACTAAATTAGTGGCTAAATATCGTTGACCGGTGATTATGTGGCTACATTTGATTGACCAGGCGAAAAACTGGCCATTTTTTAATTTTTCGCCCAAAAAAATGCAACCCACATGACTCATTCAAACATGAACTGATTGGGCTTATAATGTATTGGGCTTAGAGTATATTCATTGATGGGTCAACTTAAGATATAACCCAAATAAATTTTAAAAATTGGGTCAACTTGGAGGACATAGGCAACCCAACTTTTTTTTTTTTTGGTGTAAACCAGATATTTAATTAATAATAATTACAGAGCAAACATGTTTGCAGGGATGTCCAGGTGGCTAGCATTGTTGGTTAGAGTGCCATTAATATTACAAACCATAGTTTTCTTACTAAATGTAGTTCCTAAATGTCTGCCCACATTGCATCATTGGCAAATACCGGAGGAATTACCAAAATCCAAGTTTTGTCAAAAAGCTTCCTCTTTGCTCCCTCTTTAGCTAAAAGGTCAGCCACCTGATTTTGTTGCCTGAAGCTATGGCTGATGACTGGGTTCCTCAGTCGATCCATCAAAAACCTGCATTCAGAAATAATAGAATTGTAAGGCAAATGACCAGCATTTAACATCTTAATAATTTTCATTGAATCATTGTTAATGCTTAAAGGAGTCAGGTTATGTTATACCGCTAGTGTAGGAGGCTCTTGCACTTAGATATAGTGTCATTATTTATATAGTGAGCCATATGAGATTTACCCTGATGAATAAAGGTTGTTGTACATCTTCAGGTAGAAAAACATAAACTTGAGGCAGCGTAGAGGGCTTGACTTTCTCAAAGGTCGACGGGAAAGTCTATGTGAAAGTTTGCTAATTGTTATTACAAGGAGCGACCAATATCCACTGAGGTTTAGGTTTTAGTTAATTGACGGGCAAAGATCAATGGAAACGTGCCTGGCAAGGTACTAGTATATGTGACTTCACAGTTTTCTTGAACGAGCGGGTTATAGTATATTGGCAAGAATCCTTATATTATTGGGATGACAGATCTAATTTTTAGAAGCAAGAGTACCCTCTTTCACTACTAGAAATTTGGTCAAAACAGACCGCGGCCAGCCGACCGACTTCAGTCAATCAAAAAATCGGCCAAATATTTGACTGAACTCGGTCAATTTTTCAAAATATTTTTGTTTTTCATTTTTTGTATGAAACCAACCAATTTTTTTGGCGCAAAATGCAGGAAACTATTTTTACGTTTCCGTAAAATTTATTGGTCAGTTTTTCTTCAAAAAATTAAAATTAATTTTAAAAAAATCGACCGAAATCAGTCGGTTATTTCATTCCGTCATATTAAAAAATCAACCAGTTTCGGTCGGTAATTTTATTTTTTTAATAAAACCGACCGGAATCGGTCGGTTATTTTAGCGCGAAAATGCAATTAAAAAGTATGAATAAAATAAAAGAAAGTGTGAAACAAAAATGCACCAATGGTTTAGCGGTAGAACAGTATCCTGGCACAGTGCAAACCGCAGTTCGATTCCTAGATGGTGCATTTTTTAATCACATAATTAAAAATACCGACCTATGGTCGTTTTTTTCTTTTTTGATCGTTTGTGGAATTTAATTGACCGACCGAAGTTGGTCGATTGGCTCTATTGACCACAAGATTACCGTGCGCCACGAATCGATTTTCGATCGATTTTTACCAATTACCAACCAACATCGGTCGATTTTGGCTGTCGGTTTTACCCTTTTTTAGTAGTGTTTTGTAGGGGACAGTGATAGGGTGTTATTGAAAAAATAGTAAGTTGTACAATCAGCAATGGGCGACTTGAGGAAACTTGTGCATGATGGGGCATATAATTCAAAGTGATAGATGCGTTCGAAGTTTGCTAGTTGATTTGCAATTAGTGAAAGTTAAAAACATATCACTATGGACTTGTGCTAGACTAATCATGTGCCTTGAGAAAGTTTGATTAAGATTGGGTGAGATAAGCCCATTGAGTCCCCCCACCCTATGTCGGGTCAGATTGCTTATACAATGCAGCAGTGTACGCAAATACTATATTATTTGGAAGATTGTGCGATTGCATCGAAGATTAGCAAAATTTGAACTTCTGATCCAGCCGCTTGCATTTGCAAATCTCAACATTCTTTTGCCTCAAACTTTTCATGACCAAGACGAAAAGAAAAGGCGAGATAGGGTCACCCTACCTTAGCCCCTCATGTGCTTCAAAAAGACTTTCTAGAATTTCATCGATTATGATAGAGTATATCATTGTGATTATGCATAAGTGTATACGTTTAATGACATGGTCAAAAGCACCTTAGGATCTCTCTCTCTAAAACACATAATACACATTAATTAAATCTCGGTAAGAATTGGACGGATTGGGTTATAACCCAAATTTTAGCCCAACTTGACCCAGCCCATCTCAGTCCAAGCTACTAATTGACCCGTCCAAAATTGACTCAACCCGCCCATTGACCCACCCCTCACCCCCCACCCTATTTATTGACTCAGCCCGTTATAACCCGCCCAAAGTCAATTCAACCCGCCTATTAGACACCCATAGTCTTATCTCAGTCGATGCAATTAAGTATGAAAAAGCACGGTAGTCAACACTACATTAGCTCTATAAAAAGGCAAATCATCTTAATATAAACTATTCTTGGAAATTGTAGTGATGACAACTTTAGAGTGGTTAAGGGAAATGGTTGATTCAAAATCTTAATATTGTAGATTCAGAGAGAGTAAGTTTTAAACTATATAAATCTATTTTCATCTATACTTGTTTTTCATTCGCTCCTAGTTCTATAGAACCAGCAAATCCATCCTTGGATCCGCAACTGCCAACTAGTGTAGGGTTACAACAGTAATATGATTTCAGGGCAAGCTCAACAATTTGGTAAACGATAAGGGGTTTGTTTGATTGTTGGCTAGAGACTAGAGTTACGTAGGTTATGGCAAGGAAACATAAACAAAAGAAATAATTAAACAAAACGAACCAAAAGCATTATCAGGTAACAATAAGCAAAGAATACACCACAACTAGCGTAATTCTAAAGCTACCGGCAAGAAAGGGATGTACATTATACTAACTACTAACCTTTTATCTTAATTCTCGACCTTCACAACTTACAATCGAGGGTCATGTCCTCAATAAACTCCAAAAGCGTCATATCATACCTAATCACCTCTTCACTTCTTAAGCCTCACTCTACCCCATATAAAATAATACATATATTGACTCCTAGCTTACACTTTTTTTATGTAGGATTGTAACATAAGTGGACATTAAAGTGAATGGGGAAAAGGGAGGAGCTAAAACCTATTAAACTAAACCAAGACCTTAAGCCTTCTATTTGATAATTAATCTTGCTTCATACTCTTCTCATTTCTAAGTCTTTCTAGTGAAGAATAAGGATATCCGTAAAAAGAGAACTAGTGTTTCAATAAAAAAAAAATTCCTTGCACTGCATTTCTCCTTAATCTCAGAAAAACAAAGCCTTAATCTGAATGTGAATCAGACTGCATTATGAAATCAAGAACAGAACCAAAGCAGTTCTTTACAAGTAAGGCATGGAAAACAAAATACTGATAAACAAATGAATGAATAAATAGAATTGATTATTATAGAAGAATCCCTCCTGAAAACATCCAAGCATAATTATACACCTTCAAAATTGATTATTTCTACAATATCAAGTTCCTCTTCTCACTTTCACAGTGAGCACATAAAAGGTGGTGTGGAAGGAAAGGCATTAGCAAAATATACAAAAGTTTTTTAGTTCCTTCAAAGAAAAATATGGTTTAGAACCCATAAAATAGAAGAAATTTTCAAAAAGGCGGTAACGTGTACTCAAAATGAGCGACGAAAGTACCACTTCCTTCCAAACCTCAAAAAACTTGTGGATACGGGCTGCCCAGCCTACGGAGACAACTTTAGGGCATGTTTTGTCCTGCTTTATTTCTCCACATAAATTACACGGTCTGTCTGGAAAAACATAATGTTAAGTTGGATGGAAATTTGGAAAGATAATCCCTACGATGTTGCAGGAAGAAAACAATTGTATGCCGTTGAAACAACTTAAATATTGATGCAAGATTTGGATAATATTATCATACCTGCAACTTATTTTTTAAGACTATTGCATGAGAGGACCTTCTTCCCATAAGGAGTGGTCCGAAGAATAGGAACATGGGCTCTCACGGCCTCCAATAGTGCAGCACGCAGAGCTCCCTACATGTTAGGAAATTGTCAATATACATACTCTTTAACGTTAGAACATGCAGTAGTGAAGTGTCAAATGTAGGAATATTATGTTCAACTGTATCGTTCGGGTCCTTCAATATTTTCTTGTTTCCAATTGCCACTATATAAAGTTTCTTATGTTCTTTACAGGAGATCTTTGCACTTGACTGAATATACCAATGACAGGGGGAGGGGGAGGGGGAGGGGGGGGGGGAAGCTGTGTGCAGTGGACCTGGTAATTACAAGAACAACTTAAAACACCTAGGAGAAGAAAAGTTCTTTATATCCCGCAAGACCAAATGTTTCAAGCGCAGAGCCGTTGACTCGTCCTATTTAGGAGCCTCTTCAGAAGTACATCCGAACTACCAAATCTGTATCTTGAACCTAGCAACCATATTTAAGATCGCAAAGAGATAAGACCGGTGCTAAAATAACTAACCTTTGAGATATTCAGAGCAGCTTGGATAACATAGTTTCCATATGGATCCTGCATGATCTGGTCTAGTCGAGGATCACTTATCAGCTCCTCAATAATATATGAACAACGTTCTTCATCCGCATGCTTCAGGCATTTCTCGACAACATTACTGCTGTATTTTTGCATAGAAAGGTCCGCATATTTACCCCGCAGCTGGTCAAAGATATCTGCTGTTGCCCAAGGAATACCAATATCAAAAATATATTGCACAACATAATTCCTGCAATACAGAAAACAATGAGAATTAACTATAGAGAAATCCAAGTTTATGTAGTCTAAAAAAGAGATGAAATTTGACACTTGAAATTGCCATACCCAAATGGATCTTGAGAAAGAACTAAAGCGTTAGAAGTGATCTCATAGATGAGTCGATGCCTTTGTCCACCATCAGATTGGCTAAGACATTTCTGAAGCACACAACAACCATGACGATCTGTTGCAAGTTCAACACAATTGGTAATAGCAGCTTCAAACAGGAACTGCAAAAGAAAGAAATCTGTGTCATAACAAGTTTCATCAACTTCTGTGGCATGCAACACTAAGCAATGAAGGAAACGTCAAATGGCTATATGTAAAAACTAGCGAACCTCTCCAGCAGTTACAAGCCAAAATTTAGTGACACAAACAATAAAAAATAAGAAAGCTTGTAAAGAATTTACTTCAACAGGATGGATCAATATACCCTACAATGTAAGAGGGAGGCACCGGTAGTGGAAAGAATGTCATTTATCCCCTTAAAATCAGAGGGTTTTCTATAATATGTTAAGTTTCATCAATTTGAATAGGAAGTTAGGAAATGAAGATAAGTAACAATATGAATATATTAGTTCATTTGTTTTATTTCCCTATAAGGAAGAATATGCATTGTATTGAATAACCAATATTACAGCTACAAGATATCCCTAAAAGGACATGGTTAGAAACACAATAAGGTTGGCAACATCAAATATTATAAAAAGTCTGATGCAGCACAGTCAACCAATATCATTGAAGTTTAAGAGTATCAGTCACTGATGAAATGACATCAACACAACAAATAAAAGGACAATACATATATTAATCATGATTATGCGGTCAAATAGTCCTGTATTATTATTTACAAAGGACAGGTAGAAGATTGACTATTCTGTTAATATCTACCCCATGTGGAAACAGAGACATTGGAGAACATCAATCTCCTGATGACCTTTTCAAAGCTATCTATAAACTCATGAAAAACTGGAGATGAGTATCTAGCAGCTGTAACAACCAAGGACAGACAGAAAAACCGAATGATTATCCGATCATCAAGTTATACTAGTATTAGATATTTTCTATGGTTCTCCTTTTAAGTATACTATTGCAATTCAACTGAATTTAATGAAGCAAAGCACACATTTCATTGCTGATAAAGATTACATAGAATGTCCTTTGAGTGGAAAATAACTTGTAAATAAGGAACGTTGCACATTAAATTAGCACCAGCAAAGTTGCATACGATTAGGTGTTTTAAAACATTTTCAGTTTTTCGCTATAAAACTTGTTCGAGAAATGGTATGCATATTGTCCATGATAAGGCACTCAAAAAATTATACTGTCTTTTACTAAATGGAGGCAGGACATCCGTGCAACTCATTCCTTATCTTTTGTCATAAATCTCAGTTTTCCCACAGCCACAGAAGCTGAGTTTAGGTAGTTTAAAAATGAGTATTTCTACACTGATGATGTGACAGAAAAGAAAAGAATGCATAGAGTCTACCAAACATGCTACAAAGATGCAGTGGAATCTAAATGATAGAAGTTATGGGCAAAAGAGACAAACTTTTTCCCTTTCTGCATTTTCTATCAAGGACTTGCAAAGCAAAGGAGCTTATTTTGATTATGTTCATTATTTGCATAAAAGGAGAACTTAAGTCATCTCCACAAGATTGAATAACAACTCAGCCCTTTGATATCTAAACTACATCAAAGAAAATACCAGTCTAAATATTTTCCTATGAATGGATACAAATGAAACTTACTTCTCTATATTCAGGTGTTAAGTATTGCAAGCACCGCTGTGCAACATGGTTTCCATTCATGTCCTTGATTAAATTCACTAAACCGGGTTTCAATGAGGACACAATCATGGAAAACTGTTCAGGTGTTTTAAGCGTTTCAATAACTTTTTGCACAGCTCGGGTCCTGCAGTTGAGAAGAAGAAAAAAGTCAAACTATTGTGATGAAAATGAACAAAAGCAGCATATCAGTAAGAAAAAGGACTTTGATAAAGATAGAAATCAGACCCGTGCATGTCACATGAAATCATTACAAGATCCCCAGCTTTTCTAGTGATTGCACGAAGTATCTGCATTCGCTGATCCTCATTGCACACCTCAAGAAGCTTTTGAACAAGGTAATTGCCAAAGGGGTCAATCATGAGCTCCACAATATGAGCAATAATCTCAGGAAAAATCTTTTCAACGTCTTCTGAAGTTCCTTCTGCAAATTTCCTTTGCAAGAAGCGGCATCCATTTTGATCCTTCGCCATGAGATATATTCTTCCAGCAAAATCATCAATTAAATTATACTCTTGAGATTGTGACCTCCGATGAAATTTGAGATCAACAGCATCAGGAGAATAGCTTCTTGAATCTAGACAATCCAAGCGAGATTCCATACTTGGAGCATAGAAACCCCGCTTCGGATAAGCAGCGGGTAAAACTCTTCTATTTCGGTTCATATTTGAAAGACAATGATTACCTCCAAAAGAACCAAATTTAGCTGACTTGACTGGCTCCAATCCATGCGATCGTCTTAACATTCTTTCAGGAAAATATTGTTTCTCTGCTTTGTCCAGACCTTGTGCATCAGAACCCACGGAGCAAAACAGGGGATTTAACGGGCTTATACTCCTTGAAACTTGCTGGTTGACGTGAGCTATGGGCATCTCCATGAATGGTGGCCGGGGGCTACTATTGATTGCTCTACTTGTTATCATCCCATTTGGTTGAATTGGACGCTGACTGTCCAACTGTTGATTTCGGAGCTGCTGCATATATAAGAAATAATGTTGTTCCTCTTGTCGACAAGCTCCGTGGGGCCGATTGATTTGTGAGTGGAAGTAATGAACAGGTGAAGTAACATCCAAGAAATAATGTTGTTGATTGGAAATTACTGGAATATCTACCGGATGAATTGGTGGAAGTAGGTGAACACCTTGTACTCCAGGAGGTAATGGTACAGCTGCAGATATGTTCTCCATTCTATGTACATATCCACTCTGGTGCCCATAATTTTCTCCAATAGGACTAAAACCATTAAAAGCAGTCGGTAGATTATTTGGTGTTCTTGGAGAGGGAACAACTACCACTTTGGAATCCAAATTCGAAGGGATTTTACCTAAGCCATTTTTGCGTTGTCCATTCACAACAGCTAAATGGTTCAGCAACGGCGTAGAACTGGCCAGAGGAGCTGCAGAGTCTAACAAGTCGCCATCTTTTACATGCAACTCAGCAAATGCCGATGTTATAGCCTGTTCATTTGGTAAATTTATTTCTTCTGACTCAAACCTCTTTTTCGTTGGTGTTTGGACTCGGTTACCAAATTCTTTTAGCTCACCTAAGATCCCATTGGTTTGATATCGCTCACTAACACCAATGCTCTTCGACCTATCCAGAGCCAAAGCCCCATTTGAGGATACCAACTTCTGATCTTTTGGGCAATTGATAGCTCCAGATTCCTCAGGATATGAATTCCCAGAAGTAACATTTGGAATCTCCCCGAGAAGTTTCTCAAACTCATCATTTTCCAGCTCATTTACTCCATTCTCCATTTCCCTAACAATAGGCAGCATCAAGATTACTCTTCACTAGTCACTAAGTGAGCAATGTTCATCCACCTCAGGAGACTGTTTCTTCTGTACGACAACAAAGAGAACAGAAAATGAGTCAAAGTACATAGTCAGTACAAAAAATACAAAATTAGCTAAAATTTAATATATATATATATATATATATATATATATATATATATATATATATATATATATATATATATATACACACACAC